CATCAACCTATAAAATAAATCAAAGAAGATTTTTTAACCATTTCAATTCACAGGTTACAAAATATTTACCAGAAGAGGGTCACCTGGGACTTCCATGCTCTGGCCAGCAAGATGGAGAGATATGTCACTGCCTAATGCCAATGGGAGGTTAAAGACCTGCACGTCGTTTCTTATAGTAGAAGAATATCAATATTACTGAATGTTACTATTAATTACTCCAACATATACACGTACATTATGTCATTACAAACTTGCCAGGTTCGTAAATTTTTCAAGGATCTACAGTTTATAAACACAATTTAGGTAATGTCCTGCAACTTTTTTTCTGTAAATACAGCTTCCATGCATCTGTACTGGACCTTGTGGTGAAGTCTTATTGTCACAGTCTTGCTTAATATACTTCCATTCAAGTTAAAAATTTCATTAGTACCATCAGTTGGATTATAAAAATTTCAGTAATAATTTTCAATAGAATTGAAATAGATTTACCAGAGAGCAGTATTTTTGTTGGATTATTATGAATTTTATTAATATTGGAATAATATTCAATTAATAATGGAAAAAATAATTCTGATGTTGCAGTGCTGCAGCTAACAGTATAAAGGTTAACTATTGCAGTCCAAAACAATATATTGATAAAACAAATAGTAAATTTTCTGCATAATCTTATGTAAAATTGAAGAAAGAATATTTGCTTCATGGCTCTTTGAGCTTCAGAAATTCTGCATAAATTAAAATTGTAACTAACAGGGGAATACATTTTGGGCAATTGTGAGTTCTAAATTGCTTAGAAGTTTGCATAGAGGAATGTGATCTTTTTTTTGCTAGTTTTTGATCTGGTTAAGCTCAAAGCTATTTACACAAACAGAAAATTCTTTTTTCCAGATGAACAACTTCAGTGGTATTCATTTGCTGGAATTAAACTGCACTTGTTATTCCTGTGAAGCAGAACATAAATTTTTGACCTCTGATGCATGGCCCTTGGGATTCGTGGAACCTGTCATATAAGCTAAACTGTGGTCTTCAAATGCAATGTTTGTATTGTCCCTCAAGACAGAATGAGACCTAACCTGCGAGAAGATATGATGAGCTGCACAAATGTCACATGCTTTGAGGAAAGGTGAATTAAAATTAAAGGCATTATTTTTCTCCTTGGAAAAGCAGTAAACTCACAGAGGTGAAGAAGCAAAAGGGATAACTGAGGGACAGTAGAAGTTTTCTGAGATTGGGTGTGTGTTCACGGTCATGCATGCTCATGCCTGACTAATGTCTTCAAAAAAAGTATGGGATAAATTATTTCTAGTCCATGTTCTCCAAGAGTCCAAAGTTCCCTCCTACCACAGC